CTTGCTGCTGTGGCTAGCGATAGCAGAAACAATGTTTTCTGTGAGAGAAATTCAAAGTTTGTCGATTCCAAGGTTCATAGACCTCACTTTCGTGAGGTGTTGTAACACTACATTCAGATCCCAAGCTGGGCGGAACTTCCGCTTTGGTCCTCCAATCGGAAAGCTTCGTAGTAAGGCCAGTAACTCTGGAGATCTTGTCAACTTGACACCCGTTCTCATGGTGATTACAGAGCTAAAGCGGCAAAGATATGTTGATATCGTTGAACCTTTTAAATGTTTGTTTTGGCGTAGGTAACACAAATAGTCTGCCACTTGAGGTTGTGAAGCCTCTCTTGCTGTAAACCCTTTCTTTGTTGCATAATTTTTCGAAACTGTGCCACTTGTCGTGCGTACAAGTTCACGAGTTGAGTAACGTAAAGGCAAAGCGTGACTGCTTTTGCCGCCCTGGCAGAATATCCTCTCTTGTTTAAACACATTTGTATACAGTCCATACGTGTAGTTGGAACATTGCTGGGTTTCCGTGCACTTGTTTGGTGTGAGGATGAATTAACAGGTTTGCGCGCTTGGGTAGCTCCAGTGTTGGTTGACCGATTTCTTGAATTAGTATGGGAAACCACGTTCTGGCCGGCCAGTAGGGCGCGACCAAAGTGAGTTGTAGGCTCTGTGTTTGTCTGATTTTCTGTAATACTTGGGGTATTATTGCTGGCGGCGGAAACGCGCGCGCGCATTGAGGCCTTCCATGATAGACTTAGAGCGTCCGTTGCCCAAGCTTGGGGGTCTGGGACTGGTGACACGAATGTCGGTAGCTGATTGTTGAATCGCGTGGCGAATAGGTCTATTAGCGGCGCTCCTAATTGCTTGATTATCTGTGCAAAAATTTCCCTGTTGATCATCCACTCTGTCGGTGATGGTAGATGAGGCCGAGAGAGAGCGTCTGCTAGTATATTTCTGGCTCCGGGAATGTGCACTGCTCTGACATGTAGATTTAGATCTTGTATTAAATCGAACAGTTGAAAGCTTAGGTTCAAAAGGTTCATCGATCTCGTTGAGCCTTGCTTGTTTATGTAGAACGCCACTGTCGAATTGTCTGTATGGATCATTAGGCATTTTGTATTTTGTAGAAATGTGCTCCAATGTAGAATGGCGTTGATTACAGCTTTCATTTCTAGACTGTTTATATGGAGTTTGCATTCTTGCTGATTCCATAACCCTGATATCGTGTGGTTGGTGAGATGAGCTCCCCAACCTTGGAGTAACTGGCGATCTACATACAGATGGGTTTTGTATTCCTGCTCTGCTAAACAAATCCCTTCGCAGAACATTCGATTTCTTGGTCCACCATAGTAGATGTGGTCTGAGATGTTTCGGTAGACTGAATGGTTGTACATCGTTGAGATGTCGCGTTGATGAGACCTGTAGGGGACGTAACTGTAATCTGCCTGTGACAGTCATGTCTTGGGCTGATGTGAAGACCTAGTAGGCTCTGCCATTGTCGCAGTGGTAGCGGAGAGAGTAGAGCTGGTGGAATGGTCTGTTGTATCTTGAATAGCGGTCTTCTGGTACCATATCACGGTTCGCGATTTGTGATGAATCGAATACCTAGGAACTGTAGGTCTTCTTGCGATGGTACTAGGTCCGACTTGCGTAAGTTTACTAACCAACCTAGTTGTGTTAGTAGCTTTATGATGTAATTTAACTGTAGTTTGAGGCGCAGTGGATCTTGATCTACTTGTATCCCGTCGTCGAGGTAAAAGCACTCGCGTAGCCCTTGGCGATGTAGAAATTTGATAATCGGTTTAGTTATCCTGTTGAATAGCCAGGGGCTGATGATATTCGAATGGGAGTACTTTCCACTGGTAATGTAGCCCTTCTAGAGTAAATCGTAGGTATTTCCTGGAATCGGGATGAATGGGGATGTGCAAGTAGGCATCCTGTAGATCTATGCTGCCCATGTAGTCCATAGGGCCGAATCATCTGGCGTAACTGAGGTAAATGTATCATCGCGAAACCCGATTGGTTTGCGTAGATAGTTCTTGTTGAAAAAGCTCATGTTGTAGATGAGTCTGTATTTCTCCGTGGAGTTTTTCTTGGGAACTAGGAAAACTGGGGAGTAGAAACCTGGTTCGGCGTTTGCTTGATCTATTACTTCTATGGCCTGTTTGGATAGGAGTGATGAAACAGCCTCTTTTATCTTTGGTAGTTGTTAGCTTGTAAATCGAACTTGGGGGTTTGATTGTCAGCGGAGCTTATCCTGTAGAGGGATCACGAAATCCGTGTTGAATAATGTTGGAGGCGTAAGGGTCTTGCAGTATTCCCCAGTTTTCCCAGTGTAGTTGGAGCGTCCACCCACTTGAGCTGGTTGTACTGGAGCGGCTGGGGTGGAAGACTCCAGTCGTTCGAACCTGTGTTTCAGCGTCTATAATTGCGGGAACCTCTGGGTGTCCTGCCTCTTCCTGATCCTCCTCTATAGTTGCCATATGGGCGTGAAAAGAATCTTACCTCTAGAGCTGGCTATCTTCCTGTCTCTTGCTCTTTGTAGGCCCGTGAACTTAGATCTGCCTGAGTATCTTTGTGAAGTCTGACGAATGGCGGCTGGCTAGTGTGTCCATCGATCTAATCATAAGGACTTCCCTGGAATCCTTAGAGACTTCCTTGGCGACCTTGTCGATTTCTCCGTCAAAGATGGATGTTGTGCGACCACGGGCTGTATAAAGTGGGGCTGTAAAGTTCTCCCCAATTACAGGAGGCGAGGAGGCCTTGGCGACGAGCTAAGGTCAATGCTGCTGAAACAGATGTAAGATGATCCGTTAAAACTGCTGATCTTTCTTTTGCATAAGTAAGGCAGAATAAATCATTCTATCATCTTCCGTCGTGGAATCCGGAATCTAGTAATAAGAGTCTCATTGATCGTCCTAGATCTATTTAACCCAAAGAACATCACGTCTCGTCATGGTTTCTATATGAGCCAACTTGCGATCATCCATCTTGTAAAATCTTGTTCTTTACATCGCTGATGATCTTATAGTTCTCATCGATGTCCTGGGCCTTGTAGAAGGAGTCCATGTTATGCGTGGAGAACTTCTTGGCTTGAAAGTTGGGCAGATGTGGTATCTGAACTTTCGTAGCTTTCTGGAAAGCTGCATCTAGATTCTGTGGCACTGCATGCAATCCGGGTCGATCGGGGGTAGAGTGATTGCATCTGGATCATCTTCCTTCATCAAATACGTCTGAGCTGTATTGCCACTTTTAGATGGTGATGTGAGATCTAGGTTATTGACCATCCAATACCGTATCTCTGCATCAGAAAATATGATTCCTCCATCATCCTCAAAACCATCATCATTAATAAATTGTAGATGCTCTTCGGGACTGCGTGTAGCTGTCTGTATATCTGATGAGGTTTGTGGCGATCTAGTTGACTTGTGCGCCGCGCTCTATGTGGAGATCTGATGGGTGATCGACCTGGTGATGAAGCGAGTGGAGATCGTCTATGGGATGATCTTCGGAGACTTGTGAGGTGAATGTTGATAGCTTCGCTGAGCTCTTCGGCAGTCCCTCGATGTTCTTCTAGACGATGAAGATCTGGAATCATATGTCCTTAGCGAATGCCTTAGCGAAGCTTCATTCGTCGGTCGAGGGGATGCGATGATATGACCTTCGCGAAGGCTTCCGTGATGTCTGATGATCTGAGTCCATATCTAGAGATGAAATCGAAGATGGTGATGATCTCTCCCGCCTTAGCGAAGGCGAAGAGCTGTACATCTAGGTCCTTCGTCAAGGTGGTGCGGGACTTCCTTGCCGAAGGTGACATCGTCTTGGCTGCTCGTTGGCGGGGGTGCCTCTGGGGTGCTGTCTCGTTGGAGCCTTCGCGAAACTTCGGACCCTGCTTGCGCAGTTTGTAGTGGTCCTCCATGATGTTCATAATCTGCCGCATCATGTCTTCTGGGATGATCTGTGCCGAAGCGAAGTCGTCGGCGTCTTTTCTGCGATGGGGTTCACATCAATGGCGTCTGGCGTCGGTGTAGAGAGCATCAGGCTGCATGGAGATCTCTGCAGAAGTCACAGTCGCTGACACGGTCGCTTCTTCTGCCGTAAGTGGGGATGATTATCGGCTGATCATCGTAGAGGCCCAACTCTGCTGCTGGAGCGATCTCGGCTGAGAAAGTTCTTGCTGTCTTCGTGGATTTCCCTTTGGAAGTCTGCGCTGCCCTGGAGTGTCCTCAATCTGCGTTGAGGCGGCGATGAGGCCCTCTTAGACTTAGTCTGCAATGGCGGGATGTCTGGGGGAGGCGGTCGTTTCTTGAGTAACGGACTGCGTCCCACGTTCCTCTGCCGCGGGGTCTCTAGCAGAACACCAGGCGGGAGAGGGTCGATCGCTAGCAGCTGACTGGAAGGAATATCTGGACTCTCTGCCATGTTTTGCCCTTGTTTGCGTGATCTATCTGCAGCGTCTTAAGGCGCAAAGATGATATTTATTAAATGCAGAATGAGATAAATTAATGCAGTAACTGCAAGCGTGAATTAAGCGCACGCAGTAGAACAACTAGGGCATATTACATGTGGATCGGAGGCAGAAAAGCGTAATCTACAAATCGTACAGATTTTCATGAGCGTAAAGCTAGCTGAACAATCCGCGAATACCGTGAATAAACAGTAGAAATCGATAATTAATCAATACAAATAGTAAAGGATACTAGCTATACCTCTATAGTAACCTATGAGGAGGTAAAAACTAAGAGATTATCAAAGGATATGTGTGTAAGGAGACACAAGGCTCTCACATCCTGCTCACTGGTAGAAGAAGGAGAGAGTGGAGCACATGGCCAGAGGGTGGCGACACCTTTTCCCGCCAGGGGAGACAAAGGGGAGCAACTCGTGGTGAGTACCAATTAGTGATTTTATTTTGAAGGGAGCTTCAAATAAGGAGATACAAGTGTTCCACTATGTTCGCAAGAAGAAGAAGACAAACAAAAGAGCATGAGTCAGGATAAGGAAAAAACACAGCTGAGTCGAGCTAGTCGGTCTGCTTGAAGTGCTTTCATCACTTTGTTAAAGAGACGATTCTGTTGCATTGTCCACCCAGTCCTGAACGTCACAGCCACATGAAACAAGACAAGACATACAAACACTATTATATTCAGAACACAAAAATAACTTATCAGCCATAACTATATACCTGTATGATCCTAACAGCAACCTTCTCTTTAACTGTCCTACCTATGTATCAGAGAAGCAGCGATAGTGTCAAGGATGCTGTAACTCACCTGATAAAATATTATCGTAAACAGGAAACACTTTGCTAACACTGACTATCATATATACTTTCAGGTTAGCTAAACCAATATCCAAACATACTGCATGAACAGGCTGTGACAACCATTCATTATTTCAAATCCTGATGGAAATGAGTTAGTGAGAGAACACTTTTTCACAATTGTTTGTCAAAATTACTAAATATTTAATGATTGTACACTGAAAAGAGTTAAGGAGCACCTGAATCTCTCAAATTCCTGTAGTTGACGTCATCACATGAAAGATCATTGCTATAATGAGAAACAAGAAGTAGTAATTCACCATTTAACTCTTTCAAAAAGCAAATAACTGAAACAGATTCTCTGAGTTCTACATACCTGACAATCTGTTCTTCCCAGTCGTCTGTCCCCTCCTCGACTCTGGCAAAGCTGACATGTCTCTCACACTCACTCATGAGACTGCGAGCCTTGGTCAGGTCGTATGGCAGTGTGGGTGTGGAGGGCAGACTGACGACATCTAGTGGCAGGTTCTCCTCTCTGTGTCCACAAAAGTCAATCATAACACATCAAGGGACATTCAATACACATTCTACCTTAACTACATGAAATACAGAGAAACCTGCCAACACCGGCACCTGTCTAATCCGGCACACTGTCAAAACCTGCATAAAAGTTTGGTCCCGCCATTTTACAAAGATATTATGATCATTAAAACATTGTCTAATCCAGCACCTGTCTATTCAGTATTCCGGCACGACTTTCCGGGCCCAACAAGCAATTTTAACTGTAATTAATACTGTCTAAACCAGCATGGGTATGAGCAGTCCAATCAAGGACCCATATTCCAATACACTAATTAATCCTCTTGGCACGCTAGATAATCACAAGTAGTGATTGTGCGGTGAATCCAACGCTCTAAGCCGGCATGGGTATGAGCAGTCCAATCAAGGTCCCTTAATCCAATACATTCTTTTCAGCACGCCCGGCATTATAGAAATAAAGAGATGGACGAGTGTAAATGGCAGCCATGTTGGAAAATGATGTCACTGTCTAATCCGGCACCCTGTCTAAACCGGCATTTTATTTTGGTCCCATGAGGTGCCAGTTTAGACAGGTTTCACTGTACTCAAATTGATTGAACAATCAATAAAATTACACACTATCAATTTGGATTGAAAATGCGTCTGATTTTATGACTGCTTCACTGTGCACATATACAACACTGCCCATTACTTCAGCTTGATCACCAACATGGCTGACGTGAAATGTTAGCCATAAAACATTTATTAAAACTCGAAAAGTATGCTACGTGTTCCATTTCAAATGAAATTTAGAGACTATCAATTAGGTCTATCATTCATCTTACTTCCTAAATATAACAGCTGAACTGTATATCAACCCGGCAATTTCCTTGTTAAATCTTTAAAATTTGCCAAATTCGTGGCCCATTTCACAAAGTAAAATAAACAGTAAATCATCCGATGCTGTAAGTCGTGCTAACAACACCTCCGACACATTAAAAGCCATAAGTCTATGTTGAAGTATGGGTGTTAATGATCACCTCAGCTACAATCACTTTGCGAAATGTGACAAAATACCACGCCTCTCATATTCAACCGAATGCAGGAATAATTCGACGGGACCCACCTGTGTTGAGGAAGGACGTCAGACACGCCGGAGATTCAAATACTTAAATTAAGACATTTGTTTGTTTTATCCAGATTCGTGGTCGCTTTTTGTAATAGTTAGGGAAGCAACTTGTCGATTCAGTAGTCTGGACTATTCGCAATTTTACAAAGCTGCACTCAGCTATAAGTTCCAGCAATATAACAGCAGTCAGTTAGTAATCAATTCTGGACCAGATAATCCAGTGATCGACATCATGAGTATCGATCTGCTCAATTTGGATCCAATGACATGTGTCAATCATGTCATCGAGCCTCAAAAACCAGATCCTGTTAGTCACCTGTTAAAACCTGATCTTCATGTGTCAAAATACTGAAGGAGAATCCCTTAAGTCCAAACTGTCTAATAGTAATTTTTCTTTCCATATGTTGAGTAGTACATCTATACGAGATAATTACATGATTCTATTCACTGCTCTAATTACACATATAGTCATCTAAAAATAAAATAAAATAAAACAAAAAATAATAATAATAAACAAAATAGAATAGAACTCCAATACAATGGGAACTCACCCAGTCCCTTCCGATCCGTGATTGCGGGGGAACTTGGCCATAAAGAGTGTCCGCATGGGTCTGGCATTGCTCGCATCTGGGTGGGCGCTCCATGGCTTGGAGTAACAGTGATCCAACTGTACCAGGTCAAACTCCTGATCAGAGCCTGGGAGGCGGAGGTAGGATGACATGTAGCGCCCTCGTTGGGAGTGGCCTTCATCTGCCGATCTTCCCTCCAGGACCACGGAGATTCGTCGAGACATCTAGATGGGTGGGACAGCTCCAACTTGGTCCTTATAGTGACCAGAGGGGCATGTTTTGTGGGATAAGCTGGAACGGAAACAAGCTAAAGATGAGTAATCATGGATTTATCTTGGATTCTAAATTGGTCATGGCTGGACAACTTGGGGCCAAAAATTCAATATTTTGAAGCTTCAATTTTCCAAACTTCTGAGGTATTATGGGTTATTTTTCAGTAATTTTCTGCCTTGTTTTTTAAACATTGCATTCATTCATTCAATGCAATAATGCAACGAAGCAATAAAATTAAAAAGACTCTTCCTCTTTGGTCTGATCACCGTGAAATAGTCTACAGAAACCCATAACATAGTTATTCAAATTTGGGTAAAATATCAAGATCTGAGGCAGCGTTCAAAATTAACATCGATCGGTCCATAGGGCCTGCAGCTTTTCAAGGTTAATGGCAAACACTGATCTGAGTTCTAGAAACATTCCTGTGAACACCAATTTCTGACAATAAATAAGATCATCAGGCTCAGTTCAATATGCACATCAAGATAGTCATAAGATATTGTCAGGAGATGCTTTTGACTCTAAGCTAGTGAATGAACTAATACTTTGAACCTAAATGGTTTGGACCAGGTGAAGCAGTGACTGATCACATGAACACTTATCATCACCTACTGTTAGTAGGCTTAAATATTTTAACCTGTTGGTAGGTTCAAATATATAATAATAGTCACAATGTACACATTTTTTATATCCATCCTTCTGAAGTATACATTTGCACCTGCTCAAAATACTGGGTCTCCATTCACTTTCAAGGTGAATGAACTCTTATTTCGAACAAAGCCAAATGCAAAAGAACCAATACCAAAATATATAGTCTTATCGTTAATACCAGTCACAGAACCAATACCAAAATAAATAGTTTTATCGTGTTTATGATCATATTATCTGATTAGACATTTTCAGGATAGACTGACCAATTATTCTCACAAAGATTCAATGTAATCATGGTAATGACATTCATTGTCAAAATAACGACTTATCAAGTACTGTTTAGATTTTAGTTTGGATAATTTGTTTTATAACAAGACCAGTTAATCAGTTGACAGAATGATTTTCTTAGCCTTTAAACATGCTAAACATACAAAGATATATTATGTGTTATGAAAGAAATATAACAGATAAACTTGATGAAGAAGAATGTCGATAAACATGATAGAGCTGTTATCATGGTTATACAATCAGAAAATTTTCCAAAGTGCATTCAGGCCATGTGTCAGACAAAATTGCAGAATATGACATCAATACAAACAGTAACCAAGTACAGTCTGCAGTTCTTCTAGCCACCAGTTCAATACTCTGAATCTTGTAAAATGCATATCAATCTAGTGTGCTTTGCTATTAACAGACTATATAATAAAAGAAATACATACCAAAATTATGCTAAGAGCTAAATCTAGACATAAATCTTGCAAGTAGACTTTGAGGCTTTTGGCACAGACTTGAACAGATCAATGTCTTCCACTTATCACTAAATTCAATTAAACTAACATGTTAAAACTCATCCTTATCAGATGAGGAATATATAATATTCAGGTGATATGAACTAGAATGAAATCTATCTAACTGTATGAAAACATAATGAAACTATCTATCTAATATAGAATAAGGAGAAATATGTCTTACAAACCTTGCTTTAGCAGATGACATAAATTATGCAAAAGACATACAAGTATATCATACATATGATAAGTAATCATTAATTTATTGATCTTCGCTCTCATCGTCTACCGGTGGTCTCTCTGAATAAAAACACTACAACACAACAGTAGACCAAGACTAACAGTGACAAACACAGCGTCAATGTATTAGTTGGCCTTATAGAAAGCAAATCAAATAAGTTAAGTTGTGTTGTTTTTATATGACTGACAACTAAATGAAGATGAAACACTGAACAAACGGAAATTCTACATTTGCCGTGTTAAGGATGTTTGTTTTAATGACCGTCGATGCCTAGTCTCATAGATTGACTGAAGCGTCGTACTAGTGTTTACAAAAGCATCCTCCATGTTGTCTACCACGCTGTTCCGAGCTTCCGTGTTTTTGGCGAAAACACAACCTGCAAATGGGTCAGGTGCATTATCTACAACAATTATAAGGTTGTCAGATACTTACCAGTGAAGTCTTATAAACTATACCGCTGATAATTATGTAATAGCCGTCAAGTTTGATGTCTACAGCCTTCTCCACAACATAATCCAAAATGGCGGTAAAATGCCTTATTACCTCCCCTTAGCAGGTGCCCTGTAAAATACTAAAACGAAATATGATTTTCAGTTCCCCTTATGAATAATGATACTGTGATGCGACTAAGGGGCATGTCTGTCATCATCACCCATTAACGGATCCAAAGGAAGCTGTGTTGGGGCAAGCGGAGTGGGTAGAGCATGGTTTGTGGGAATGTACACATCATTTGGTGGTAGGAACATGTGTCACCTTTTGCAACACATGTACACAACATGTTTCGGTATAAATAAACGTACATAGAACCAATTTGAATTTAAAGGTATTTTTGACCACTGTCTAAATGCCATTGTGTAATCATTCAAAGATATTGATTTCTCAACCAAACATGAACTTTTAAAACAATCAAACAAAACAATACGAACTGCACTGGCACTTGAAACTACTGATGTTGATGTTCAATTCGTAATTGTGGTAATACCAATACCCACTCACGAAAATCTAAGGAACTAAGATTTGTTCGTTCTGAAGCTCTGCTTCTGCTACGTACGCATGTGGACATACTTTTCTTTCATCAAGAGTAAATGATTAAACAGTGTATGAAATAAGGCCCGTCCGACCGCCCGAGACGGTCTAGATTTCTGCTGGACGGTCTAAATTTACAGTTAGCCAGCCCGATGGTCTGGTAAAATTTTTAGAAGTTCCATACATCTGAGTAAATTCACCATATTTGGTCTGGTTAAATCCATTTTGGGCTGGTAACATTTTGACATTACTAACCCTGATGTCTGGCTGGATTTTTGGCTTATTTCATACACTGGTAAATGCAAGAGCTCATTCTGTTTATACATCCGTTGATTATCGGCACAGAACGACCCCAGGGATAAGATCAGTAATTGAGGTCCTGGGCCCCTTTAGATAAAGCGATCTTAGTGCTACGATGATTTAAGCCTAACTCCCAGTGGGAGTTACGATCGCCTTAACCGCTTATATCGCTTTGTGAAATTAGACCCTGATTATTTCGATGTTACATTCTCATTAACACATGATATTACGGTATTATGGTCTCTGGATATGACCTTTCACTCTGATAACGTGCCTCAAGGCACTGGGCACATATTGTCCACTTGTCCAAGACGCTACAAGTCGCCGTGCAGAGTTGTGTCCCTTGGCAGTCTATGCCTATTTGCTTGAACCCCGGTTCGCTCCTTTGTTTCTTAGCGCCACCCCTGTGCTTGTGTGGTAAACGTCTGAGACTCGCACTACTTAGGGTTTCCCTCCCACATAAAGCTGGCGCGTCGTGATATAACTGGAATACGGTTAAAGCGGCGTTAACCCAACTCACTCACTCTTTTAGAGAGATAGCGCAACGGACTTAAAGCTATGATTCTACTGAGACCACGTGATCAGGCTGAGTGTGAGCTTCAGACGGTGTAGACTGTTAACCAGTCTAACAACTAGTCTCTGAAATGAACGGAAAAAGTTCATAGTAAAAAAATATATATAATGAAAAGGAGCCCTGTTTAAGCTGAAGCCTAGACTTGCCACATTTTCTAGACTCTTTCTTGGATATATTTGTTTCAGGGTCTGTACGAGAGACTAACTGTTAACCAGTCTCTCATGTTTCGTTTCATTAGGTTTCGTGTGTAATAAAAGGGTTATGTAACACACAGGTTACAGTGTAGTATATATGTAACCCTGCTTCAGCTGTCACTTGGCACTGAGCTTTCATACAAAAGTATGACTCTCCCAACTTATCACACGTGTTCTGTTGCAAAATCGAGTCACTATTTGTTGAAGTACTGTCGATTTGATCTGATGTAAATTCTGTCGGAACTAAAATGAATTTTTGATTACTCAGTAACGTTGCTGGTCGTAAAAGGTGACCAAATCGGATCAGTCGTTGTATGGTTTGCCAGACGTTGTATTTGGAATACTGCTGATTGCAGCGTTGGAATCGAAAATCCACTCACTCACCCTTTGACATGAACGAGAGTACTTAACACTAGCTATGCTCCAAGGCTGTACCGAATGCTGAGCCAATGGCTGTATAGTAATTTTATCCTTTAAAGAGGCAAGTCTAGACGAGGGACAGTACAAGGACGCCAGGCTGTTATTTATATTTTTTTGAAATCATCATTTAAAGTATTAATTATTACCTTAGAGACTTGTGTAAGTCTAACTTAACACTTGATCGTTGAGGTCTGCCCCACAGCAGTTGTATACACCGACTGGGCGGTGGGGTAGCCTAGTGATTAAAGCGTTGGCTTGTCACGCCGAAGACCCGGGTTCGATTCCCCACATGGGCACAATATGTGAAGTCCATTTCTGGTGTCCCCGACCGTGAGATTGCTGGAATATTGCTGAAAGCGGCGTAAAACTAAACTCACGGTATACACCAACGTCCTATATCCTATAAATAAGGACATGGATTCCTTGACTTTACTTCTTGATATGGAACAGCGAATATATCGCATTCAGTACACATATACCTTACTGAACAGTTATAACAAACATCCAATCCTAGTTATCTAGTGTATTATGATTATACATCACCATTTTAATAGTAGAGAACGAATATCATGTCTTAATTACATGTGAAAAATATTCTAAGTTAAGGTATAAATTTCTCCCCATGGTGCAAGATAGATTAATGATAAATATTTTAAACTGTGACAATCAACATCTGATCCATGCTGTTGCTTTATTTTTTTAAATGTGTTTGCAATTAGAAATGTGTAAACAGTCATCAAATTTCAATATGTACATCACGTGGCAAATGTTAAAATGTTTTATCTGCATTTGTACCAGGGGCCTTGAGCCTGAAGTATTGAAAATAAACTGTCTGTCTGTCCATATTAGAAAAATACTTCCGATTGTCTTGCAAGTTCATAGGATTTCTAGAACCAACCCTTAAAACTCCAGTGTGCAGAATCATGTAATGTCAAATGTCAAGATCGCTTTGATTTTATTTGGATCAAACTTTATATTTTCATCGCAGTGTGAGTGAGTGAGTAAGTAAATGACAGATCACTGTTAGTCCCCCGCCGCAACGCGGAATGGGTGACACTGTATTCAGCAGCGTCCGTCCGTACGTCCGTCCCGATTCCTGTTAACGCGATATCTCATGAACTGTTGCATCCAATGTCTTCAAATTTGGTGACAGCCTACGTTGGGGGATTCCGCAGACACCAGTCGATATGGGTGACCTTGACCTTTTTCTTATTTTCAAGGACACCACAACACTTTGACTATTTTTCTCTATTTAACTCTTGTTAACGCGATATATCCCATGCACTGTTGAACCCAATGTCTTCAAATTTGGTGACAGCCTACATTGGAGGATTACGCAGAATCCAGTCGATTTGGGTGACCTTGACCTATTTCAAGTACACCAGAACACTTTGACCACTTATGAAACATATGTAAACGCCATATCTCATAAAACGTTGCATCCAAGTTTAGCCTCCGAGCTGAAGAATATATTGCCATTTCTTATAAATTTGATGTCAGGAATTAACAAATTTAATGTCAGGATGTCAGGGTAGGGTAGTGTAATTGCTGACCCCCTAGCACATGTGTACAAAATTGCTGACCCCCTACATTCCCAGAACAAAATGAGTGACACCCCCCCTAAAAATCATCATTTCTCACCCTCTTTCTCCTCTTTTGTTAACGTGTAGTGAAGTTTGTCTGCACACTCTTTATAAAGGTCATTTAAGAGAAGCTGTACATCGAATACACATAATTTATTAAAGGTTTGATACACACACACAATGACAGCAACTTTTATCAACGGCCGCTTTCAGGTTTATAGAGTATTCCCTTTCAACTGGCAAATCAGTTAAAACCGAGTCTGGGATTCGACACCAAGATCATGTCCTTGCGAACCCGAGCGCATCTCTGTAGATCTAAACTGAATGTGTCGTAGAAGACGGGGCCACCAGGGGACCACTTGGACCAGAGTGTGAGGTACAGAAGTGATGCTCCCTAGGGGTTTCTAACACCTGAGTCAAACAGTAAACGCAAAGACTGTAATGAAGCCGGCCATTTTATCAGACATAACAACCAACAAGCGGAAATGAAGCCGTTTGGAAAAGCATGGCGATTTTGATTTGTTGATTTGCTTTCAATTCAGTTTAATGCCGTTGAAAATATATAGAGTAGTTTTAGTATTATCACGAGTGTCCTTTTAAGTAAGTCCGATCATTTATATACTTGTTGAATGAAACGGTTGAAGCCTGCTTGAAGAAACAGGTGGAGAGTGCATGCACTCCCTGTATCAAATTCACTATCAACATGTTAGCAAATGGCTTTGATCCAATGGGTGTTCATCATTTTGGTCGCATGTTGTATAATTAAGTGTTGACTTAACTGCTTGAGTTTGTAACACAGACACATTGTTCAATATCCAACGAGGAAGATTGAGGCCTCTTTTACGTAGGTATAACTTTTGACCTAGTGGTCTCCCCATTTGCCGTTATGTAACCACGTGACCTCCATCAAGTATGACGTCACACTACTCAGGATAATTCTTGCACATGGATGGTGAAAATGTGAAAGAAACACATAAATCAGGAAAAAAAGGTGATCCTCAGAAATGTTGAAATTCTAAGTTGTATTTTGCATTGTCCTTCGTGAGTTTATGAGCACAGACGAATCGTTGATATTGTCAGACTTCATTCAGATACTCCAGGAAGCTGCCAATAGATGGAAGATCCATGTAGCCTCTAGCATGCACGGGCTGTCCGTGCTCTACGATCATCATGTGATTTTCAACCTGAGCCTGCGATTGGCTCCTTTCATTATTTTGCACACGGCACCTTGCAGCATATGCGCATGACTGACTAGACGAAGGGCTCGGTTTCATGGAACCCTGTAGGGAAAATGCTGATTCATACGGTCCCATAGGTCTTTGATTGGATCTACTGTTCTGTGGTCTACAGTTCCCAACACTTTCTCGAGGCACGTGTTGTCTCTGTAAAGAGCGAGTCCCCTGTTCGTATTCACAGTAACCTAAATATTTTTCTGCCGTTCTTTGTAAATCCTGAATACAGGGCGCTGCAACATAGTTCTGCTGAAAACACGAATAATTTGCGGTGTTAAATGTCCTATTTGAATCCCCCTGATCCCGTAGGAGCGAGTGTTGATACTGAAGTCGTGGCGGAGGCGGGGGCGTCCTTCGAGGGTAGACGTCTACGTTGTAGTGGTTGTGCTGGGGTGATGGGGGTGGGGACGGCGGCATGTTGTGGACATAGGGTGGGTGGGGGTAATACCCTGACATGGAAAGACCTTGCATCATCTGGAAAGGTGGACAGTTGTAACCCTGAGCTGAGAAAGACTGAAGCATGCTTCTTTGAAACGAAGCATCATTAGCTTGGAACCGGCCAAACTGAAATCCTTGCTTCTGGGGCAAATCGTCAGGTGTATTCCACGTGGAATCGTGTCCATTGTCTGCGGAGCAGGGGTACAGATTCTGCCCTCTGAATTCATTCATTGTCTGTGCTGGAATCTCTTGGGCACAGTCATAACCCTGATCCTCCCATTCCGTCATCATCTTGAACGCCGTCTGATCCATCTGGGTCTGCTGACGTCGCTTGAACTCCTGGTACTGAAGCTGCTTCTCTCGTTGGGAGATCTTGTGGGCCACGTGACTAGACGGCAGGATGGGTGAGTGTCTGTCTGACAGAGCGTGCCAGCTGGATGGACAGGGAGCCCCTGACAGACTGTGGACAGCCACCAGGGCCTCGTCCTGTGTACCAGGGTGGGTCTGGAAGCACATTCTCTTCATGCTGGGCTCCATGATATTCGGACCGTCCTTCCAGACCGAGCCGTACTCTGGTATTTGTGATATGCACATGAGGTCGTTGATGGCGTAGCGCTGTCTGAGGACAGATTCTTGCTGGATGTATGTGCTGTCCTCCTCCCTGCAACAGAGCGAACATATGTTGGGATGAATAATGTTCTAATAATAAGTTATCAACCAATCTAGAGGGGGACATAGGTTGATGCTCGAGTGAGTGAGCGAGTGAGTATAGTTTTACGCCGCTTTAAGCAATATTCCAGCAATATCACGGCGGGGGACACCAGAAATGGGCTTCACACATTGTACCCATGTGGGGAATCTAACCCGAGTCTTTGGCGTGACGAGCGAACGCTTTGACCACTAGGCTACCCTAGATGCTCGGAGGGCCCTGGGCACATAAACTAACACAGAGGCGACATCAACCCATGTCACCCGAGGAACCTTCCACGCACCAAACTATATTACATATATGTCTTGTGCAAGCGCCGTTTGGTCCGAATCGTCAAGAATACCACAGTTAATAATCAATTATAGAGGACGACAGAAACAAAGAGTTATTCCCCTTGGATCTATTTCATTCGGAAAATATCGTACATATGTAAACATGTCGGAAAATGTAATGCCAGCTGTTCGGCAATGTATGAGGGGAACATGTGAAATGTACCTTACGTATTTGCGACGTTCTCAACAACATAAAGGCAAGGTAAGATAAATGGACGTAAAAGGAGTACATGGTTCTATATTACCTAACCGGACAATGTGAGAAGACGATGGAGAACTTCTTGGAGTTTTTCGAGATGACCTTGCCGCGACTCTGCAGCCACACCCACCCGCCATGTTTGTTTTGCAGCCGGAAGTACATGGTTTGTACGTCACTGCTGTCTGTCACTACGAGAGGAAAGGAGACTATATTTGTTTACATGGTTAAAGTGACTACACGCACGCACACAAATACATACATGTACACATACATATGAATGGAAACGTCTACTCTGTGGTAACAGACGCCCGAAAACCTATTCTCTATTCAAAGCCATATAGCTGGAATATTGCTGAGTGCGGCGTAAAACTAAATACTCACTATTCTCTAATCATTGTGAGTGAGTATGGCTTTTCGCCGCTATTAGCAATATTCCAACAATATCACGGCGTGAGATACAAGAAATGGACACTACCCATGTGAGGAATCGAACCCGGGTCTTCGGCATGACAAGGGAACGCTTTAACCACTAGGCTACCCAACCGCCCTTCTCTAAACATACGATAAGTAATCTCCATTGTACGATTCTGACCATATCATAGACAGCTGTTTATGAATTGCTTTCAAATAGTTATGATACCAGATGTTCGATAAAGGGTGAGCGTATCCTGCCCAACATGTGCCATCCTTCACAAACACAAGTCAATTGTTCACCCTATGAAAACCGGGATTGATTGTGATTCTAAAATGTGGTTGGTGGAATCGTACACACGACTTGGCCGCTACCACAGGTTTCTTAAGGTTATTGTTATGCCTGAAGGGTCGGATTCAAACGTCCTAGTATGAGTGACCGAGTCAGGTTTTACGCCGCATTTAGCATTATTCCAGCCATATGACGGCGTCGGACACCAAGGACCCCCTCACATTACAAACGCTTTAGACATCTATCTATATCCTCCTTTGGTAGGGGCGGTGGGGTAGTCTAGTGGTTAAAGCGTTGGCTCGTCACGCCGAAGACCCGGGTTCGAATCCCCACATGGGTACAATGAGTGAAGCCCATTTCTGGTGTCCCCCGCCGTGATATTGCTTGAAATTATGCTAAAAGCGGCGTAAAACCAAACTCAGTCAGTCAGTCAGTCAATCATCTTGCACCGTCATTCAATATATAATGTCCTCCTTTGGTAGTCAGTGGTTAAAGCGTTCAACTTTACCGAAAAGGCCCGGGTTCGATTCCCCACAAGTGTGCAATGTGTAAAGCCTATTTCCGGTGTCCCCTGCCGTGATATTGCTGGAATATTTCTCAAAGCGGCGTAAAACCCAACTCAATCACTCACTCCGCCTTTAAACGTACAAAAACAGTCCTCGTTAACATCGCATTATCTAATGATTTTTTCGTATGGACAATGAAACACAACATACATTGCCTGTGACAAGCTGCACATGTTGCGATGTCTTCTGGGTGGATGAGGGAGTAGAAAGAGCGACCCTCCATCTCTGGGCTGGTGTAACCTGTCACAGGAAGCGCTCTGAAACATACGCATCAAATTATTGTCGACATAGGAAAACAAACAAACAAACAAACAAAACAAAACAACAATAAACCAACCAACAACAAATATTAGAAGATAGGAAATCTGGATTACTTCTTATCGATTTCTCTGATGGAGAGGTCAAGGTCGTGTTTGGACCAGAAGACGTTTTGCTTGAGTTCCTGGTCGACTTCCGTTGTGTTGATCATGAATGGATGACAGAACAGGAACAGAATCTGGCAGGATGTTCTGTTGGACTTGGACAGCTGAGACAGGTGTTCCACCTTCCCAGAGCAGAGCATCTTCTGTCAGGAATTAATATGGAATAAATCACACGATGTCCACTGGCTGTATAACATGTTACATGCAAATATGATGTTGTCATCTTCATAAATGTATTGTTGCTACTAAATTATGTTGTATATTTTCACAAGATGAACAATTTAGATGAACCATTTTTATATGATGTGAATGTTATTCTTTGCCGAGGGACTCGTGAAGGTCCGGGTTAGAATATTGATCTTCAGTAACCCATGCTTGTCGTAAGAGGCGACTAACGGGATCGGGTGGTCAGGCTCGCTGACTTGGTTGCCACATGTCATCGGTTCACAATTACTTAGATCGATGCATCACTGAATTGTCTGATCCAGACTCGATTATTTACAGACTGCCGCCATATATCTGGAATATTGCTGAGTGCGGCGTAAAGCTGAACTCACTCACTCACTAGTACTCTTATGAGGTATGATAATATGTCGATGCTTCGTTTAGTAACCGAAGTGTTTGGTAATATGATGAGGGTTTGTGTCACAAGTGATATGTGGAAAAGTGTATAATGATACCATGGGCACAATGTGTTAAGCCCATTTCTGGTGTCCCCCGCCGTGATATTGCTGGAATATTGCTAAAAGCGGCGTAAAACTAAACTCATTCAGTCAGTATAATGATACGGCGAGGCTTTGTATAGTATGCAGACAATTGTATGGTGAGTGAGTGAGGTTTGTTTTACTCCGCTTATAGCAATATTCCAGCAATATCACGGCGGGGGACACCAGAAATGTGCTTCACACATTGTACCCATGTGGGGAATCGAACGCGGGGCTTGACGAACAAACGCTTAACTGCAAGGCTAACCCACCGCGCGAAAATTGTATGGTATGGCTTTGTGTTGAAATATGCAGAAACTTGTACGGTAATACGGCGAGGCTTTAGGGAGTAATATGCGGACCATTGTATTGTAGAATGGTGAGGCTGTGTGTGGGAATATACTGAATAATGGTATGGTGTGTGTGGGATATACTAAATAATGGTATGGTAGTAAGGCGAGGCTTTGCGTTGGAATAGTCTGCATTACTCTGCATCCATCCATTAATTTGTCTGGTATCGTCCGGATTACCGAGGTTCACGTTTATATAACTGCTAGTGCTTGTCTCTGTACTACTTACGAGATACCCTGCCGAGGTTCCGTTGAAGCACTTCATCCGGCACAGGAAAGACACCGGCTTGCAGGTGTCCGGCTTCTCAGGGACCTCACCCTCCTTGTCCGAGGACTCCTGAAATATCATCCTGGTTTTGTGATTGGAGCCGACACTTTGATGTATAGTTTTAACGGGGGTAGGAGTTGAGCTGGTTTAATAATACTTTTATGATGTTTTACTCTTACATTTGATAGAGTCAACTTTCTTAGCGCCAGGGAAGCAGGTTTTGTGAAATGATTTCTATGCTTTTAAGTTTGAGTGCTTGAGAGAGTGAGTTAGGTTTTACGTCGCTTTAGGCAATATTCCAGCAATATCACGGCGGGGACACCAGAAATGGGCTTCACATATTGTACCCATGTGGGGAATCGAGCCTGGATCTTCGGCGTGACGAGCGAACGCTTTAACCACTAAGGCTACCCCATCGCCCCATTGAAGTTTGATACAGCAGCCAAAAAATATTTTGTCTCAAGCATCTGCCACGGCTGTAGGGTGGCCATGTGGTTGTAGGGTGGCCACGTCGACCGTCCGTGGTTTATTCGCCAACTGGATACAATGTGTAAAGCGAGTTTCTGGTGTCCCTATCGTGATATGTTGGACTTTCGCTAATGCTGCGTAAACATACAGCCACACAGTCACTCTTAATTGTTTGGCCATATGGTATTTTGGGTATCATACAGCTCTGTTTATAGGGAACACACACACACACACACACCACACACCCCCACCCGACTTACCGCAGTTGTCGTCTGCAGCTGTATGGGTCCTAGCGTGTGCTCCAGAACGACCTTGACCTCCTGGTGGTCACCTGGGTGGATAACGCCGTATACACACCGGTGCATGAGGTCAACCTGACGATAAACGTGTAATTATTCCACCGGTATTAAAGTTCTTGACAGGCATTTAGAAGATGGACGAAAATGAATACATGACACGTTTTTATGAATAACAACTTCTTTTTATTCTTTACACCATGTTTCAGAGCTAATTCTTGCTCCTTCATCAGGTGATTGCGAGCGTTAGCTCTGAAACGTCCTATAAAGAATAACAACAGGTTGTTATCCAGAAAAACGTGTCATGTATTCACTTCTAAATGAATTTCAAGAACTTCAAATTGTCACTAAATCTTTTTATTGATATTGAAAACTTTAATTTAAGATATATTATGTTAATTTGACTTTATAACACCAATAAATAAGTGATTGGTGTAATAAAATAGGAATACATAGAAGCACGGTGCCTGTCGTATGAGCAGGAGTGATGAACCTGACAACGTTTACATGGATTTATAAATAAGTATCCCTACCTGATTGAAGCCGAGATACTGCAGGATGTTCTCCGACACATACAGCACCGTCCCGTCCGAGGTGATGACGAGAAGGAAGCCATCCAGAAGCTGAATCAACAAACAAACACAAGATATTGGAGTGAGTGAGTGTGGTTTTACGCCGCTTTTAGCAATAGTCAAGCAATATCACGGCGGGGGACACTAGAAATTGGCTTCACACATTGTACCCATGTGTAGAATCAAACCTGAGTCTTCAACGTGACGAGCAGACGCCTTAACCATTGAACTTCCCAACCGCCCCCATAAGATATTGGTCTTTCCTTGTCAGATAGTAAGTTTATCTCTTCCAGTAACCATACATTTTTCATGAAGACGCAGGTAAATATTCTTTTTTTTTCAAAGTTATTATATGTGTACATTTAAAACAACAACAAAAACAACCCATAAAAACATCGTATCTAGAAGAAGACTGAACGTAGTTTATCATTATGGAAATATTATTTAACTTTTATTCAATAAATATTTTGTTTTCCGTAACTTGATAGACACAAAACAGATAAACAGACTGGCAAAATAATCTAAATAGTTGAAATTACTGTGTAATTTAAAATTGTGTCACAATGTTTGTTGAGCTGACCCGTTGTGACATACTATTTGATAATATCTCCGATAATACCCGTATTAGAAACATCACCATCAGATAACTATTTCTTTTTTGTTTTATCCTTAGCCACCCAAAAAGGGAGAACTCTTCATTTGCCTAACTGTCGGGATCAGTCTTTTAATAACAAAATATCTGATTTTATCTCACAAAAGTTTTGAAAGTCAAAGGATTTCATGTGATTCATATATCCAGAATAAATTCAACGCTCCAGCTACCTAAAATAATTTCTGTGCTTCAGCTATCTAAAATAGACAGCCGTGAAGGTCCGGGTTAGAATATTGGCCTTCAGTAACCCATGCTTGTCGTATGAGGCGACTAACGGGATCGGGTGGTCAGGTTCGCTGACTTGGTTGACACATGTCATCGGTTCACAATTGCTTAGATCGATGCTCATGCTGTTGCTCACTGGATTGTCTGGTCCAGACTCGATTATTTACATACCGCCGCCATATAGCTGGAATATTGCTGAGTGCGGCGTAAAACTTAACTCACTCACTCACTCTAAATAGACACTATGTAATTATAATAGTTTAAATAGATAAAATTAATTAGGTTATATTTGTATCCCGAGGTTTGAATTTATATATAAAAATATCTTTGGCACTGTAAACAGAAACCCACACACCCATATGATTCAAAGATGGTAATGGAGAATGTCTGTATTTCCCGCCAAATCTACTAAAGGGAAGCCACTCTCATTTAGCATGTAAACACACATTCGCTTCCGGGTTCACTGACAACGCTCACGCGGACGCGACGACCGTGTAACTGCCCATGGAGTGATCCAAGCTTACACAACATGGTTTACACGTTCATAATCAACACTTTGTTGCCTGGATCGAGTAAGATCATATACTACAAGCACTTTGTTCCGTATGACGTCGACATTGTTGACGAGAGCACCACAGCAGCCGAGGTCCGATCAGGCAGGCGAAAACAGCGACAACAAATAGCTGATATGGTTCATTCGGAATACCAGTTCCGTAGATCGCTGGCCAATAGGTCTGTCGAAGAAGATGTACTGAGACTTGGAAACGATGACACCCTTCCCGATTTAGAAACAGGCCATATATTGTTGACTACTGATTCCGAGCAGTTTGTCACGTGGATGGGCGCAGGATACACCGGATTCGCGTTGGTTTGTGACACAACTGAAAATCGGTTACTGGCGGAATCGGTTCTGAGACTGCTGATCCGTTACCTACAGGAGCACGTGCGCGTCCTCACCCAGCCGACCGACGTTGGACTGAGGACGGACAGGGTGGGGCTGGTTCTCAGCCGGTTCCTCCCTCAAGGGTCGCTGCTGTTCATGAACAACAGGGTGGTGCGGCAGTTTGAGAAGGAACTGGATACCCTGATGAAAAGCTGATGCTATGTTTGAAGAGACGTGTGACTGGATTTGCCAAGAGGACCTTTGAATTTGCCCACAACTATACATTGTGTAGAACGTATTCACCTATGTGTAAAGACGTCAATAATATCTCGGTAATATGTCGTCACTGATTGTGTGAACTTAAGGTCTGTGTGTCTTCCAAACGTGCAATAAAATGTGTCTGATTTTGCTGATATTATTATGTTGTTGAAACGCCTATTAGAAAGAAAGTATACACTTTTAAAAACTGAAACTAGAAATAGTTATTCGATTGTGATGTATGTGATACAGGTATCACAGGCGATATTACGTGATATGTTGCAGTTTGTCACATAGTTTATTCATTTCAAAACATTATATGATTTTTTTTTCACGAATTATTTTCCAATAACTTTTCAACAATTACCTGTTTCTATTAAATTGATCAAATATACATTACATTCGAAACAGTCAGATCTATGTTCCACAACATGTATATATAACAGAGTTATATGTGTGTAACAATGACGTGTCAGGTTAGTGTGTTTCATATACAGTTTAACCTGGTTCATCCGCAAACCCAACATTCAGAGTGGCATTATTCCCTCCCTTTCTGCTACAAGGTTACCGTCTGGATTAACCCGGATCACTGTATAAGGTAAACGAGAGATGATACTACAATAGCTTGGAGTACCGAGCCAATCTCTTGTTAGCCCCATGCCTGTCTTGAAAACTGACTTTAATGGGCCACAGTACGTGCTAAACGTTTTTTACAATAAACACCTTGTAGTATGTAAGCTATTTAAATGTATAACGTTTGTTATGATTCAGTCTAGGAAAGCTTGAAAATACACGTTTTTCGCCGCATTTAGCAATATTCCAGCAATTTCACGACAGGGACACTTTAAATCACACACGTGGGGAATCGAGCCCGGGTCTTTGGTGTGGCGATCGAACGCTTTAGCCATTTGGCTATCGCTCTTCCCCCCCCTTTTTCAGCTTTGCGTTCAATATAAAATTCTTTCCTTGGTATTTTAGTGATATTTTTTAATGATATACAAGTTTTGTTTGTTGTCTAACCCCGCACTCAGCAATATGGCGGCGGTCTGTAATTAATCGAGTCGGTATCAGACAATTCCGCCAAAATATTCTACTGAAATTACAGTCAATTTGATCTGCTGAACATGTTTTCTTCATCAATGAGGTTAGTAATTTAAACAGATTTTATTCACAAATGTGAAAGGGTTTGGAGACAAGTTATCTAACTTAAAATACCCACCCTGATATGTACATACATGCATTTTCAATATTATACATCTTTGGAAGGAATAGAGAAAAGGTACAGGAGGTTAAAGAGAAAAGACAAAGGGACACAACGTAAGTGATCACTCAAAAACGTTTTGATTGATAAATACAAGTTTGTACACATTTGAAAACGTTCATTCTGTTGAATAGTCATATCTGGGCTTCCAAGTAACATTAATGACAATGTGATTGGAGAGTCACATTTTACAATACTTTTCAAATTTAACATTAATGTCTCTCCTTGAATGCTATACAGTTTACATTCTAATAGGAAGTGATGTACATTATCACAAGCGTTGCCTGAGTAACAAGAAGCCGACTCTTGTTGAAACGATACATAGTTTAGTTGACTAATCATATATCTTAACAATGTTACATACGGCATTAAAATAAATTAAAGTTAAAATAATAATTCTTCTCATGATGAAGCGCTCATAAAACTTTCACACTTTCAATAAGACTATCGTTGCAGAATGGTTAGTCCCTGAACCACATTTTCCCTACTGCCTAGCCCTATCTGCAATGCTAAAGTCCTAAATGAAAAAAGTCTAGATTTCTGGTCTCCTTGGGGCTCCCTTTCAATTTATATGGGTTTGTTTGTTACTATGAAAATTATATATATTCAGAGACTAAGCGTTAGTCTATAGAATGGTTTTCGGATAGTCATTGAGGCAACGACCCTGTGCCAGTGTAAGCTCTCCTATCCTGAGCGAGCCTAGTGTATTGAGATTGGTATGTTAGGGAAATTAGTCGACGGGCGAGTGGTCTATGTAGTGAGGGTGTTGCCGGGTGTGGGTGGGACCCTGTAGGAACGCTCACTGCCCACCCTCTCCCCTACAAGTGCCGCACCGTGGTGTCATGGAGGGCGGTTAAGACCTGAGGCATTTATCTTGCCTGTCAGTATAATCGCGGCGGATTTAAACTTGTAAACTCTACAATTAGCCGGCCCGCCATGGAAAACTGTGTTTGCCGGAATCGCTATCTGATCGGCGAGGTTTGTTTGCGTTGGGGGATTTGTGTAAACATATATTGGATTGTGATGACTTATGACTTCTACCTGCATTATCTGTACCACAAAGCGAGAAGCTGGCCACCAGAAGGTTTTTCAATAGGATTGTTTTTAAACTAACAAAGTAATAGAAAACGGGGGAACATGTTTTAATGGTGATGTATCTCAAAACTGATTCGAGTTTACAAATCTAGGCTACGGTTTATGACAGTCGGTCGATAACAGGTGTACCAGGAAAGGGTATTTGAATATTTTGACAAGTTCGGCGAAAACCTGCCATAGTAAGACTATGAGTGTTCTTTTCACCTTTTGGAATTTTTTTTATTTTATTTTTTAAATAAATATCTACTATACCTTGATACCCCCAAATACGTCACAACAGAACAGAAGGCGCAAATTAAGGGCATGGTGGGCGAGCTGGCTAAGGCTTGGGGTGCCGGGATCGAGCCCACCCGTGACCGGTGTAGAAACCTTGAAGTCAACTTTGTCTGTAGACTCTTTCAGTGTTGTTCAATCCCTAGTGTGCAGTACACAACCCCGTGCACTTAGAAGAACCCACGAATCCGTTGGTAAATGACCAGATGGTGGGTACATGAGTGAGTTTAGTTTTACGCCGCACTCAGCAATATCCCAGCTATATGGCGGCGGTCTGTAAATAATCGAGTCTGGACCAGACAATCCAGTGATCAACAGCATGAGCATCGATCTGCGCAATTGGGAACCGATGACATGTGTCATCCAAGTCAGCCAGCCTGACCACCCGATCCCGTTAGTCGCCTCTTACGACAAGCATGGGTTACTGAAGATCAATATTCTAACCCGGACCTTCACGGGTCCCAAGTGGCCACATGAATACGTGCAAATACCTTGTTGCAGGTACAGCAACGTGCAGTAAAGTACTGTGACTATGTGTCCCAGTCCACCCAGCTGTGAACGGGTACCTCGTAAGGATGAGAAAGCCACAATAACTGCGCCTAGTGGCTGCAAGAGTTGTATGGTCCCGGGGAGTTGAGATTGATAATACGATGTGCCGTTGAGACTGACATCCAATGATCAAGGGAACACTCCAGCGCCTTGAGCATGTACTAGTTGCGTGGATATGTGCGCTATATAAATATCCTATGATAATAAGCAACTGACTAGGAAGTGAAATTGCGAGGAACCCACCCTGACACCTCCCTATTGTGTAGTACAGACAATGAGACAAATATATACAGTATACAGTGAAGTCAAATAACATTTGGCAAGCCTAGATCAACTGTAGCTGCGGAACGTTTTCCGAAAATGAACGTTTCGTGGCTTTTATTTAAACATTTTTAAGATCATATGCAATGTAATAACTTCTGAAAAATATGTAATGTCAGACACCAATTAAATTTAATAGTCTACCTCTCCCATTGATCCCAAATACATGTACCATATAATTTTCACCCGTTCGTTTATTGCCCCTGAGTACCGTAGAACACGTAACATATATGGAAAGCATTGTGTAAAGGGTACGACTTGACGTTAACTTACTTTAAAAATGTCGAAAAAAAACATATTCGGGAATTCTTTTGGGTAAGTTATTGTATCTTTTAAACTTTAAAATTGTTAAATTCAACATTATTTGCGCCCATTGTACCACACTGTCCAGTCCCAATTGCAAGTAATCTTACCCTCTGAATCCGGCGAATCCCGTGTACCAAATGGGGTTTGGAAGTCGAAAATAATTGTTGCCACATTATTTTATTATTGTCATACTAAATAATTAATGTCCATGGTAAAATGTTCAAGTTGCTGAAAGATATGTATGACAAGGTATCAGCTTGTGTTAAAGTTGGAAATAAGAGATCTGAAATCTTTAACACATCATCTGGGGTAAAGCAAGGTTGCATGCTTAGCCCAGCTCTGTTTATACTTGTTATCAACAAGTTTGTGGATGAAATGAATAACTGTGGATTAAGAGGAATATTTGTCAAAGATGGTTTAAATGATATTCTATTACTGCTTTTTGCAGATGATGTTAGCTTGCTTGATGACACTTATTGGTTTACAAAGAAAACTTGATACATTGTATCGTTTTTGCTCAAAATGGGGTTTAGAAGTTAATCTTGACAAATCTTGTATAGTAGTATTTAGAAATGGTGGATATCTTAAGAAATCAGAAAAATGGTTCTATAATGGAAACCAAATGAATGTTGTATCTCACTATAAATATCTAGGTGTTATTTTTACCACAAAATTGATATGGTCGAGGACATGTGAAACTATATTTAAAATGTTTAAAGATCTTCCACATATATCTTTGAAAGTTGCTTCAGCAATATTTGATAGTAAGATAACCCCAATATTATTGTACGGTAGTGAAATCTGGGGGCATTCATATCGTCCTCACATTGAGAAAACCCAATGTTTCTTTTTCAAACGTTTTCTGTGTGTTAATAAAAATGTTTCTTCCAATGCTGTACTTGGTGAAATTGGCAGGACCCAATTATGCGTTAAATATTACGGCAGATGTATCAAATATTGGTGCAGAATATTACATATGGACAATAATCGACATCCCAAATCATGTTATGAAATGTTAAAGTTGCAAGACGATAGTGGCAGCTGCAACTGGGTTACGCATGTGCGTCTACTTTTATTCCGAACTGGATTTTCTTACGTTTGGATTACACAGGAATGTGGGAATATAGAAACGTTTATAAGTGAATTTAGACAAAGATGTCAAGATATTAAAATTCAAAATTGTTACTCTAGGATAACATCATCTTTTCTAAAAGACTATGGAGCAATCAAGTCCGCCCTCGAACCTGAAACATACATATTGGAACTTTGTCATAACAAGGACCTTTAAGGCTGTTTAAGCCATAAGTTAAATGTTCAACAACAACGTTATAATAATAATATAAATTTCAATGTATTGATATGTGACAAATGTGATTTTAATGTTACACAGGATGAATTTCATGTTTTACTTGTGTGTCCATTCTATTCTGTACAAAGAAAACTGTACTTACCTAGTTATTACCATACGTTCCCATCAAGATTAAAATTTAAACAACTTTTAACAACAACAAATGCACATCTATTGAAGTCAATTGCATTATTTCTAAAGCGTAACTTGCCTGTATGAAAATGAACTAATTACATTGTTTTTGTCTGTCCATCCGCACAATATTGTTCTTATATGTTTGTACTCTTGGCCATGTGGCCTCAAATACTGAATAAACTTCTTCTTCTTCTTCTAAATAATTAATGATTGATTTCGGGTTCTGTGCTTCAGTCCCAGATTGTCTCTTTATAACTATTGTAAAAATTGATACGTGGTACGACAAAATGGCTGTTTTTCAGTGTTTATCTTCTTTTCGCCAATATCCGTGTATTAAAAAAAAGCTGTTCATTTTAGTTGATATGTAAATAACAAACACACAAACCAACAAAAAGAAATATGATTTGAAACATTTCTTTTACACCTTGTAATGTTTCCAGGGGTTCGAAGCATTCGGAACAAACCAGGGAAGAGGGAAACTGAAATTCAGATGGTAAACTGACTGTGTCTTGTCTGCACTTCAAGGTGTCATAGATGAGTACAGAACCAATTAGACCTCCCACATAAAGTTTACTTAAACTCTGTCCTGCGTTGGACTGAAGTGGTGCTATCTTGTAAACGCTAATCCTTTAGCTTTGTGCCACACACTTGACACACTCACTCACCCAAAACAACCAATCAAGAAAATGCCCCCACCAAAAAAAAAAATAATAAATAAATAAATAAAAAAATATTTAAAAAATTAAAAAATAATAATAAAAAATAATAAAAATAATAATAATAATAATAAATATATAAATGGTTTCTTGAATTATCATGCATTCGGAACAAACCAGGCATAAGGGAAGTGAAATACCTCGGATTATTTTACTTTTCTAAGTTTTACATTTTACCGGAACCATTGTCTGTTTCCGCGGATTATATTTCAAGATATCATGCCAAAATTAGTCGCATATACCCCCAACTTTTACTTTCTTTTCTCCTGCGGTGAGCTGGAGTGGAGCGTTAGTGTTTTTCCTTGACCGCCATCAAATTAGGAGCATACCTGTATCGTTCTCTCACCTGTATGCCGTGTTGCCCGTCACTGGCTGGTCCTTTTTTGTCGTCAGCATCTTCACGTTCTTTTACTTCCTGCTTGGCGTCATCGGTTTGGTAGAATCCGGCAGCTGGTGGGTGCAAGGCGAGTGAGTCAGTTTAAGGTGAAGTTATAGATGAGGGTAACGGCACGTTGAAGTGTATAACATACATACAAACACACTGTCGAAGTTTGATGGGTCGAACTTACAGTAAACACTTGGCCAATACTCTTGTTTATTTATCCTATTTCGGTTGTGTCGAACTATGTATAACTCGAAGCATTTACGGTCCCTCCAATTTCGACATATCGGGGTATGACTGTAAACAAATGTACGACGTATGCATGTTTATGGATGCCTGTATTAGCCAGGACTAACGCCGGTTTAATAGTGTACAACCACAGAGATACCATGCCGCCGTTTTAGCATGGATACACAACTTACAGTCAGTGCACTGACTCAAACGCACCCAGTTCTTGCTGTATCCCATTAAAGCTTAGAGCCAGGCAGGGTAACAATAAGTACCATCTTTTAACGTGAAGCTCCAGGTATCGACCCACACTATCCATTCGGCCACTTTTAACGTGAAGCTCCAGGTATCAACCCACACTATCCATTCGGCCACTTTTAACGTGAGGCTCCAGGTATCGACCCACTCTATCCATTCGGCCACAGAGGCAGTTCCTTAGGCGAGTGGGTGGATGGATGAGAGAGTGAGTTTTACTCCACAATGGGCAATATTCCAACTATATTAAGCGACCTGAAGTACCTTATTGGGCTATTCATTTGTTATCGACGAAGAACAGGACATTTACAATGGCAACCTATTCATCTCCGACATCAACACAGAAACGATACCAATTATATTATTCATAAAGGTTGACCCCAGTGTGTACAATAATCATTCGGTTTTCAAATTGTCTATAATTTGAAATTTGATAATATAAAGACGAACCCAAAGCACTCTCGTTAGATGGAGTAAAATGTCTTATTTTTTTAATTTAAGATTAAAACTTTTAAAAATGTTTTGGATTGCCGTAAAATCGTTTTTGTTCCACAGAACTCACTTACATACAGTGTTTGGGGTTAAAACCAAAAGATCACATTATGCCATTCGTACATGCTTGTCTTACCTTGGAAGAATATCTTTGACCGGAAGTACGAGATGACCAGCCGAAAAAACGGTCTGACTATCGAGTTTCCTGCTGAGGGCGGTTCTGTCCACTGGAAGTAGAGCTTCGGCCTTGATCTCAGTTCTCAGTTTATTCGATATCTTTTGGACTTGAAACTTAAATGGAGGTTAAATTCAACGACATAAGCGGGTTTCAAAACATCTTTGAAAAAAACACACAGTCAACTCAAAAATCAGCAAAGCTATAAGCAAGGTATTGTATTATTGTAGCGATAAAAGTGGACAAAACTGGCTTTTGCACTGACAACACTTGCAAGTACATGTATCGCCAAATGAAGGAGTTTTACCTTACGGTCATCCATAAATCATGAAGTCAAAAGGTTAGGGTGAGTGAGTGAGAAATTTTTCTTTGCAATTTCCAGCAATATCACGTCGGGGACACCAGAAATGGCACACGTTGTACCCATGAACTGTATCGAACCACGGGTCCTTCGGCGTGACGAGCGAACGCTTTACCCACTAGGCGCAGTATCCGCGCGCGCGCGCGCACGCACGCACGCGCACACACACCACACACACACACACATACACCAAAGAAAGAGAAATGCTCATCAGTGGTATTGATGCGGGGAGACATTGCCATTGCTAAGAGATAGCCAGAGGAATTCATAAAGCGAAGAGAAAGATCTTCGAAGATGATGCAACATCGGTAGCACCTTCAACTGCTTCCACTCAGGAAAATGTTCATAAAGTACGCTTGATTTGATCGATGACTCACCACACATCAATCAGCCAACACAAAGGGTATCTCATTTCTCGTAAGAGACATAGGACCATTCCCGCTGTGGAAGTAGATACCAACCATACCAGTGGGATTCAGGCACTCGAGTGTAGACTCGAATATTATTCTATTGTCACTTCACGGCCTGATTGTATGTATAGTTTGTGGTAAACGTCTAGACCTGCATCTATTCCCAGGACCTACTACATTTACTAAAAAAGGGTCCAACTGTAAACTCGTTAAAACTGACTTCAGTATTTCACTCTCTCAATCAATCTAAGCACTAAACGTTTAAAGAACAATACTGTAATGCTTCCCCTTGATGTAATATTACAAGACTCCATGTGCACATGAAACAAGGACTTCCTTAACTGATCGAATCTGGAATTCGAAACTCATAGAGCATCCTGGGACCGCCAGGGGAAGCAACTCTGTACATCGGAGTGCTCGCCTTATACCACAGGAGAACCAATGCACCCCCAAACAATACAAAGTGATGTGTTATCAGTGTATGAAATAAACCAAAAACCCAGCCAGACATCAGTGCTGGCAACTTCAAAATGTTACTAGCCCAAAATGGATTTAACCAGACCAGACACCAAGATATGTATGGAACATCTAAAAAGTTTTACCAGATCATCGGGATGGCTAGCTGTAAATCTAGACCGTCCGTCAAAGAGCCCGTCTGGAATGGTCCGACGGGCCTTATTTCATACACTGGTGGGGCGGTGGGGTAGCCTAGTGGTTAAAGCGTTGGCTCGTCACGCCGAAGACCCGGTTCGAATCCCCACATCGGTACAATGTGTGAAGCCCATTTCTGGTGTCCCCGCCGTGATGTTGCTGGAATATGGCTAAAAGCGGCGTAAAACCAAACCTCAGTCAGTCAGTCATACACTGGTGTTATGCAAACAGAAAAAATCTTGTTATGCTTAAGCATGACACGGAAGGATAAGCTGAGGCATGTGGAACCCGTGAACCCTTTCGATGTCATCGGATCGAAATGGGTCACCGCAGCAGGAAATATATTGGCGACTTGAAATCTATAATATAAAACACATCAACAAATATTCCCCTCTATCTCTATTTTTTTATCACAGTTTATGCATACGGGGAAACTGTGAGCTTTAGTAGGTAAAACGCAACGTTCTCGTTGACACTGTTGTGTTAGCAGCCGTGATGACGGAACATTTATAAGCGAGTGTTTGACAGATTCCACACCCTGCGTGGGGTCGGGAGACATGTGTCACCCACAAGAGGAGGGGTGGTTCCCAGATTAATCATACATACTGGACAATCCAGATAAGGTATATTTATCTTAATCCTGTCTGTCGTCAACATAACAACACTCGTTATCTGGAGATAGTTATGGTTAAAATCATATCCAGGTAATGGTCGGTTTATCTTGCTTGTGACATATACTGGCTGTGAGACTGGCCGAGTCGCGAGTATATTGTGATAAATTGCAGTATCTCACATTACCTGAGCAATCAAACAAAGAACACATCCATAACGACAGAATAATTTGAACATTCATTTTAAAATCACACGCCGCGGTAGCAAGAACGTTTGGATGCGCGCGCATAATCGTTACCAGGTTAATGCGACGGCTGCGTCAAACAGGCCGAACAACAGACAGGCCGAGAAGCGGGAGACCCCAGGTGACCACGCCTATTCAAGACAACCACATCCGGTTACTTCACCTACGTAACCGCTTCGTTCCTGCGACGTTAACGGCGGCGACGGGACTGGGACACCGGATCAGTCGACAAACCGTCTACAGGAGACTGCAGGCACATGGTATCCGTGCACGTCGCCCCTACCGCGGAGTCTACCTGACACGTCAAAACAGAGACAACCGATTGATATGGGTCAGGCGTGTTCGGCGGTGGCAACGTCGAAACTGGGCACGTGTCTTGTTTTCGGACGAAAGCCGGTTTTGCCTTTACAAGAACGATGGTCGGCAGCGAGTATACCGAAGAGTTCGCGAACGTTTGGCGCCGAACTGCATCCAGCAAGTCCATGCATTTGGAGGCGAAGGTGTAATGATGCGGGGAAGTATCTGCGGTGATGTGAAAACGAGGCTCGTCATTATTCGGGGGAACCTGAATGCACAGCGTTACCAGGATGAGGTTTTACGACCAGTCGTGCAGCCATTCGCCCAACAGCATCCAGGAGGAATCGTGTTCCACCACGATAACGCTAGGCCTCATACGGCAAGATTGATCCAGAACTTCCTTGCCAACGCCAACATACAGGTTTTGTCATGGCCAGCGTGTTCACCGGATTTGAATCCCATTGAGCACATATGGGATCACCTCAATCGGAAAATCAGAAACGCCCTGCGCCCCCAGCCAACCTCCAACAATTGGAACATTGTCTCCAGGATGAGTGGCAGCGAATCGCCCCTAACGTCATCCGACGTTTGACGTCATCAGCTCGGAGGCGTGTCATGGCATGTATCGCAGCTGCTGGTGGACATACCCGGTACTAAAGTGGCGTGAAGACTGTTTTCAGAGACTACCCTCGCTAGCCTCCTCCACTGTGCTAAAATGAAATTTCAATTTTGGGCACCACACTTCGTTTAAAGCCCTGTGGTAATGATTGTAAATCTTTGATTGCCATGACTTTTTGTACACATGCCGTAACATCATTTATCTAATGAAAGATATCAATTTGAAATGTCTATGTTGTTTGGTTTTCATTTAGTGATCTTTGAAAAACGTGGTATCGTTTCTTTTTGGACACTAGTTTATATTAAGCGACCTGAAGTACCTTATTGGGCTATTCATTTGTTATCGACGAAGAACAGGACATTTACAATGGCAACCTATTCATCTCCCACATCAACACAGGGATTGAGCACCCTTTTACCAATTTTTAATAAATAATAACCAATTATTCTATTCATAAAGGTTGACCCCAGTGTGTACAATAATCATTCGGTTTTCAAATTGTCTATAATTTGAAATTTGATAATATAAAGACGAACCCAAAGCACTCTCGTTAGATGGAGTAAAATGTCTTATTTTAAGTTAAGATTAAAACTTTTAAAAATGTTTTGGATTGCCGTAAAATCGTTTTTGTTCCACAGTGTAACTCACTTACATACAGTGTTTGGGTTATAAACCAAAGATCACATTATGCCATTCGTACATGCTTGTCCTACCTTGGAAGAATATCTTTGACCGGAAGTACGAGATGACCAGCCGAAAAACGGTCTGACTATCGAGTTTCCTGCTGAGGGCGGTTCTGTCCACCGGAAGTAGAGCTTCCAAGGCCTTGATCTCAGTTCTCAGTTTATCTCGATATCTTTTGGACTTGAAACTGAAATGGAGGTTAAATTCTGAACGACATAAGCGGGTTTCAAAATATCATACTTTGAAAAAAACACAGTCAACTCAAAAATCAGCAAAGCTATAAGCAAGGTATTGTATTATTGTAGCGATAAAAGTGGACAAAACTGGCTTTTGCACTGACAACACTTGCAAGTACATGTATCGCCAAATGAAGGAGTTTTACCTTACGGTCATCCATAAATCATGAAGTCAAAAGGTTAGGATGAGTGACTGAGTTTGGCTTTACGCCGCTTTTAGCAATATTCCAGCAACATCACGTCGGGGGACACCAGAAATGGGCTTCACACGTTGTACCTATGTGGGGAATCGAACCCGGGCCTTCGGCGTGACGAGCGAACGCTTTACCCACTAGGCACACACACACACACACACACACACACAAACCCCCAAACAACACACACACACACACACACCAACAAAACAACAACACACATACACCAAAGTTGCAGAGAAATGCTCATCAGTGGTATTTATTCGGGGGGAGACATTGCCATTGCTAAGAGATAGCCAGAGGAATTCATAAAGCGAAGAGAAAGATCTTCGAAGATGATGCAACATCGGTAGCACCTTCAACTGCTTCCACTCAGGAAAATGTTCATAAAGTATGCTTGATTTGATCGATGACTCACCACACATCAATCAGCCAACACAAAGGGTATCTCATTTCTCGTAAGAGACATAAGACCATTCCCGCTGTGGAAGTAGATACCAACCATACCAGTGGGATTCAGGCACTCGAGTGTAGACTCGAATATTATTCTATTGTCACTTCACGGCCTGATTGTATGTATAGTTTGTGGTAAACGTCTAGACCTGCATCTATTCCCAGGACCTACTACATTTACAAAACATGATACAACTGTAAAATCGTTAAAATTGACTTCAGTATCTCTCTCTCAATCAATCTCAGCACTAAACGTTTAAAGAACAATACTGTAATGCTTCCCCTTGATGTAATATTACAAGACTCCATATGCACATGAAACAAGGACTTCCTTAACTGATCGAATCTGGAATTCGAAACTCATAGAGCATCCTGGGACCGCCAGGGGAAGCAACTCTGTACATCGGAGTGCTCGCCTTATACCACAGGAGAACCAATGCACCCCCAAACAATACAAAGTGATGTGTTATCAGTGTATGAAATAAACCAAAAACCCAGCCAGACATCAGTGCTGGCAACTTCAAAATGTTACTAGCCCAAAATGGATTTAACCAGACCAGACACCAAGATATGTATGGAACATCTAAAAGTTTTACCAGATCATCGGGATGGCTAGCTGTAAATCTAGACCGTCCGTCAGAAATCTAGCCCGTCTCGGGCGGTCGGACGGGCCTTATTTCATACACTGGTGGGGCGGTGGGGTAGCCTAGTGGTTAAAGCGTTGGCTCGTCACGCCGAAGACCCGGGTTCGAATCCCCACATCGGTACAATGTGTTAAGCCCATTTCTGGTGTCCCCCGCCGTGATGTTGCTGGAATATAGCTAAAAGCGGCGTAAAACCAAACTCAGTCAGTCAGTCATACACTGGTGTTATGCAAACAGAAAAATCTTGTTATGCTTAAGCATGACACGGAAGGATAAGCTGAGGCATGTGGAACCCGTGAACCCTTTAGATGTCATCGGATCGAAATGGGTCACCGCAGCAGGAAATATATTGGCGACTTGAAATCTAAATTAATATAAACACATCAACAAATATTCCCCTCTATCTCTATTTTTTATCACAGTTTATGCATACGGGGGAAACTGTGAGCTTTAGTAGGTAAAACGCAACGTTCTCGTTGACACTGTTGTGTTAGCAGCCGTGATGACGGAACATTTATAAGCGAGTGTTTGACAGATTCCACACCCTGCGTGGGGTCGGGGAGACATGTGTCACCCACAAGGAGGGGGTGGTTCCCAGATTAATCATACATACTGGACAATCCAGATAAGGTATATTTATCTTAATCCTGTCTGTCGTCAACATAACACTCGTTATCTGGAGATAGTTATGGTTAAATCATATCCAGGTAATGGTCGGTTTATCTTGTGACATATACTGGCTGTGAGACTGGCCGAGTCGCGAGTATATTGTGATAAATTGCAGTATCTCACATTACCTGAGCAATCAAACAAAGAACACATCCATAACGACAGAATAATTTGAACATTCATTTTAAAAGGTGATAAATTAGTCAGTAAATAAGAAAAAGATATCTCGAGACTTTTATAATGTCTTTAAAACAACGTTGCTTCAAGCACAGGGGCGTGTCACGCTTAGAAACAGCGTTAGAAAGACATATAGGTATATAGACCCTACCCTAGTCCTTTTATATAGTACTAGGGTAGGGTCTATATACCTATTTGTCTTTCTAACGCTGTTTCTAAGCGTGACACGCCCCTGTGGCTTCAAGTATAGTGGAATAATCACTTGGCAAGGTAGCCTCACCTTCTCCATAGTTCTATACAGCAAATTCATGCATTACGTCTATGCATATTTCACATCTCAACACCAGGTGTTATAGTTCCTAGTGAATTCTGCCAGCAACTTATTGGTTACGTGCGTGTAGTGTGTCCAATGTGAATGAGTGAGTGAGGGAGGAAGGGAGGTTCTGGCTTGGCCAAGGGACACTGCACTGCGAATTGCGGCGTTTCACAACTGGGCTAAGTTTGCTGAGGAACAATTTTCACATTACCTCCGAGCTAAATGTAAACTTCTAGTTTGAAATCATACATGTGAAAAAAGTTTTCTTGTTGTTCTATAAATCTGCAATAATGTAACTATATGATGCCGATCTGTAAAACATCGCGTCAAGTCAAGATAATCAAGTAATTGATATTGTATGCAATGATCCACGTTGAGGGGAAAAGTAACACACTATCAACCAAGTCACCGAGTTAGACCATCTGACCCTTTGATCGCCTCCAGACCAGCAGAAGTGTTTTGTTGTTGTTGTTTTTTGTTGTTTTGTTGTTGTTTTTGTTGTTGTTTAAGAGTTTTTTTTTGTTTTTTGTTGTTTGGTTGTTTTTTTGGGGGGGGAGCTATTTTAATCGGGAATCTCTATGGTGTTTGTATGTAGTGAAACACTCTTTATAAGTTTGATATGGGCAGCATTTGTATTTTCCGTGTTTCTCATCGCCCGACCGACCCATCTAAATTTATTGCCGCCCACCAAAAACTTTTTTTTTATTCCAACACCGCCGACTCGAACCTAAAACGTACCGCCTCATGTTTTTCTTTAAATCAGTCGCTGCCACAAGTGCAAAGAACGCGAGAAATTATAAGAAGAATCACAATAAATGAGAATCAAGAACATTATTCAGATAATGTTGTCTTTATTACGTTGGGATTTTTTTGTTTTTGTTTTCCCCGACCGACCGACCGACCGACCGACCGACCGACGCATGTTCCAATTTGGTGGCTACGTGAAACATATATAAAAAAATGATGGCGTATGTCCTTCTATGGTTTTAATGCTTTGTTTGTGAGTTCATTAACCAACAGGGCAATGGGGTAGCCTGGTTTGTTAAATCGTTCGCTCGATACGCAGAACACCCAGGTTCGATTCCACTGTGGGTACAATGTGTGGAGCCCATATCTGTGTCCCCCGCCCGATCAAGGTTACACCATTGAAGGTCGCAGTAAAGCTTTGAAAACCTTTCATGGTAGACATGTGGAGGGCATTGCAACAGTGACAAACATTGTATCCGATGCAAGTCTCTGAGTATATGTAATTGTGATAGTAACAAATAATCCCGTTTAAATTGAAAGCAGCCCCAGTAAGATGGCAGATTAAGAACCTGGAAATGTTGACCAGCTTCATTGTTACATAAGAAATATATATCCATTTGCTGTGTACTTAGTTAAAAACTGTATATACCTAAGTACCTACGTAACATTTCAGATATTTTTAGCAATGGCAAAGTGGGGTTGTTCAGTTTATGGATTTAAATATATCAAATGTGTGTTTTTGATATCATAGCATACGTAATAGACATCATATTTTTACATGATTAAATATCGAGGTAAAAAACACAGAAATAGGATCAAATTGGATCAGTCACTATACCATCCAAACATTTGAAAATCTGAAAAAGCCTACACTGCTAGGATACTTTGTTACAATCAGACAAGAACTGTAGGGGGTATTTTCAAATAACGGCATCTGATGGGCATCCACCCTTCCTAATGTCCCACTGATTAGGTTGAAGAAATTCTGCCAAGGTGGACAGTAGCCCGTCACGGTCGAGGGAGCAGGGGCTGACCAGTTTGCAGCTAGGTTTCGTGGCTGGAAACATTAATCGCTCTGGATCAGTGGCCCTTAAGGGCTTATATTAGCATTGTAGAAAGAGCTGGGCAGAAGGGAACATACTGTGGTTGGGGGAAGAAGGGACAGACTATATTTGACTTGTACGTTCCCGATGTTTTCAGAACAAAGCGCAAAGGATGAATATAGTTTTACGCCGGGAGACACCAGAAAAGGACTTTACAAATTGTAACCATGAGGGGAATCGAACCCGGATTCAGCGTAACAAGCAACTGCATAAACCACTTGGCTGCCCCATCGCACCTTGTCATGGACATGTAGAAGCAAGACAATATACGCAGATGTTTGGATGTGATTTGAAACTTTTAATTTTAGTCTCTTAAAAAGTTGTAACGTTTAGTTTTATTACATTTAAAGTGGACACACCACTTCCCCCAAGGTGACAAATCACATCTGTAGGCGTTATCGTTACAAAACCGGAAGAGCAACAAATTTATTTATCAACAGTTGATATTTAGATCTGTTAGTTGCTAATTATCCAAAACGTTTCAGCCAAACGAGGCACGCACAAAGGAAATTGCCGTTCGTTTCGACAACATTGACAGATATGGGGATGCAAATGGAATTAAATAATGGAATATGTGAAGTCGTCCTAATGAATACATGACGAGATTGTAATGAGGTGTGTGATGGGCCACTGCGATCGGGTACAGTCAGCCATGAGTCAACACCACAACATGGCCGCCATGTTTACATAGCACGCGCAAAGTCACGTGACCTGTCAGCGTGTTCAATTACGTGCACGTATTGAACAAACGTTGACTTGATACGACTTTATAATCACTTCCTGACATTTCCGTTACAAGAAAAATTGAAGAGCAGCCATGATCCGACCAAAAAAAATGACCAATAAACACCAAA